AAGGGACCCTGATTTAGAGAGCTGCCCATATGTCGGGCATTCATGATCGACACGAGAGGGGGAGCATTCAGAAGCTGCACCTGCCACTGTGAAAGCCTTTGCGGCTCGGACCAAGCCCTTGCAACTTCTGCTATTAGATCTTCAGTTAGCAGATGTACTGGAGACCTGGGCACAGCCTGAACCCTCAGGCCCTAAACCCAAATATCCTTTCGATTCTGCATGGCCACATGAGAAGAGATGGTTTTTGGGTGGGATCTTTGGCCAGCGGCTTCGGGCTCAGAGTGGGGAGTTCTTATCTCGCAGTGCTCGGCGGGTTCAGGATTCAGGGGGTTTTGCATCCTCCTGGGCTTAGAGTCTTGGTGCGAAACGGCGCTATGCCAGCCTTCTCCAAGATCATCGGCGTCATCGCTCAACTTAACTTAGGGTTTGGAGAGCGGATGCGCACCTGAAGGCCTAAACATACAAAGGCCTGCTCTGACCTGGAAAGAGTACGCCAAACCTGAACTCAGTCGTTGATCAGCTTAAGCCCCGCCTCTGCAGCGACGAAACAAGAACCCCCAAAATAGTATAGGTAATCATTGAGGCCCCTATATTAATGTTGTTGCAAAGGTGAAGGTTCAGGGGAACTACAGCGAGGACAGGCTCGCCTCAATCCGAGATCCTTAAACCCCCAAACTCAACTAAACCTATAATAAGAGCCTATGCTCCACAAGTGGGTCAGGGCGTATGCGCTCTATGGATCGATCCAAACTGCCCATAACCCAAAACCACGATCCTACAGTAGGAATCCCACACTGAATCCTAGATCCCAAAAGCGCGACAGCCCGAGACCCCCACACGCCGCAAGCCTCGGCAGTTGCCCTGGCAGTCAGGGTCTGAAGCTCCTTGGCAGTGTAATGCCGCATTACCGGCTTCGAGGCCCTGGCATGGGGGGCTGCCGGCTTGGGTGTTTAGGGTTTATCGGGTTTAGCGTGTTTTAGGGTTTTGGGCTTAGGGTTTAGGGTTTAGGGGCTGGTTGCGGCAACCGTGGGCCACCTGAGAAGTACTATTATCGAATTCTGTGGGGTTCTTCGGGGACCTAGATGGCTGCTGCGGGCAGGGCTTTGTCTGCAGTCTGCGGATGCAGCATTGATGTGCGAACCGCTCCGAAGTTGCAACGCAGACTTTGCCACGCTGCCGTAATCACGGACATTTGTTGCAAGCTGCCCAATAGCAGCCGCACACCACGGTCTGCAAGAGGCGACAGCTGGCAGGGCTGTCAGCCATCTCAACATGCGCCATCTCAACATGCCTCCCGACAAGGATCGTCGATTCCAGTGCCTCGCAAAGGAAAGAAGGGACTGGGCGTGCTGCACAGAGTTCCTTGAGGAACGTGCGCCTCGATGCCATAATCTCCGGGGTTCCATGTGAGGTCGATCCTGACGATAGTGAGGTTGGTCTTCACAGCTTCTTCAAGGGCCTCGCAGGGCAACAGGTTCGGCTTGAAAGCTGCCGCTTGAGGAAAACAGGCCTTAATGCCGTCGATAAAGATGTCATTCTTCTGCAGGTGGAGAAATTCGAGGGTGGTGTTGGACGTTAATGCATCTGCCAAGGCCTCGCAAGCAAGGGACCGGGTTCATGCTTCCAAGAATCCTGGACAGCTCAAGCCTTGCAGCCCTCGTCCCCGATGCCATTAGATCCTAGGTCGATGCTGGCGAGGGCGCCGTTGGTCACCAATGCGTCGGCCAAAGCCTCGCAGGGAACGGACGGGGCATCCAAGCTGGAAAGGCCTCCTGCGCACCGCAAGGCCTTGCAGCCCTCGTCTTCCATGTAGTTATCTTTGAGGCTGATTTTGGTGATGGTTCGGTTGGTCTTCAAAGCAAGTGCCAATGCCTCGAAGGGAAAGCCAACCGGGTCTTTAATTTGCAGCATGCGTTGAACAAAGGTAACAAAGGCCTTGATGCCGTCGGTATGGATTCTATTTCTCTCGAGGTGGAGAGCTTCGAGGGCGGTGTTGGACTTTAACGCTTCTGCCAAGGCCTCGCAAGCAAGGGACCGGGCTCATGCTTCCAAGAATCCTGGACATCTCAGGCCTTGCAGCCTTCGTCCCGGATGCCATTAGATTCGAGGTCGATGCTGACGAGGGTGCCGTTGGTCACCAATGTGTCAGCCAAAGCCTCGCAGGGAAGCGACGGGGCATGCAAGCTGGAAAGACCTCCTGCGCACCGCAGGGCCTTGCAGCCCTCGTCTTCCACGAAGTTCCCTCGGAGGCTGATTGTGGTGATGGTGCGGTTGGTCTTCAGAGCAAGTGCCAATGCCTCGAAGGGAAAGCCAACCGGGTCTTTAATTTGCAACATCCGCTTGAGGAACAAAGGCCTTGATGCCCTCGACTCCGATCCTCTGCTGATTGGAGAAGTTGGACTCCAGGCCCAGGCGGGTAGTGATACTGTTGCTCTTCAGTCGTGATGCGAGGGTCTGGCATGTGGAACTCTGTTCATCCGAGCATGTCCGTTAACAGTTATTTCCGGAAAAACAGCCGTCCTGGATGCGCACTTCTCCGGTCCACACCTCGAGCAGCTGAGTTTGCGGTTCGCAAGTGGTCGGCAGGGCAGTTTTGCAAGTTGCTGGTTACGGACATTCGCATGGGTTGACATGGGCTCTCGGCGGGAGCTTCATGAGGTCGAAGGCTTCACGAGTGTCCCATAATCCCAGACTGATGAAGTTGTGAAGCAGTCAGCCCTGAAACACATGCTGCAACCCAGGCGTGCCAAAGAATGTCAATAGGCAAGCCGATAATCGATTCAAAAGTTCAATGAATCAACAGTTCCCAAGCTAGCAGCCCCTCGATGCGTCTTCCTCGTTTCAGCATGAAGTTCCAGGTGTCACGCTGTTCAAGACGCAGGCCCGTCGCAGCAAATCCAGTGAAGGATGTGCATTGGCAACACATTACCAGTAGGCAACACGGCAACACGCATAATTTGCAACACATCGCCACGCGCTGAGGCCGAGGCATGGGACTGTGCTGCAGCGGCATCTTCGACAATGGGCACTGTGGACTCTTTCCTGGTCTTGAAGATCTCTTGCAGCTCCTGGCGGGAAACATGAAACCAAGCAGCAGAGCCTCATCATCTAGTCCGGGCCCCGGGCCCAAAGCCACTCGTGGCCACTGCCGTTGTAGTCAAGGTTGATGGTGGTGATGGTGCGATTAGTGGTCAATGCCTCTGCGAAGGCCTAGCAGGCAAAGAACAGGGCATGCGAGCTGCAAAGGCTTAGTTGGGACCGAGCGGCCTTGAAGCCCCCAGCCAAGATGTCATTCTGTCTGAGGTCGAGTGTGGTGATGCTGCCATTAGTCTTCAACGCCTTTGCCAAGCCCTGGCAGGGAACGGACTGGGCTCATGCTCAAAAATTCCTTCGGGCGGCGCAGGCCTTGCAGCCCTCGCTGGTGATGCTGTTGCCCCTGAGATCGACACTGGTGAGGGTGCTGTTGGTCGCCAATGTCTCAGCTAAGGCCTCACAGGGAAAAGGGCCGGGATCCAGCTGCAAAGACCTCTCGGAGGAGCGCAGGCCTTAATGAAGTCGTCTCCGATGCCGTTGAAGCCGAGGTTTAGGGAGGTGATGGTGGCATTGCTTTTCAACATCTCCACCAAGGACTGACGAATCGGAGCGACAGAGTTATCTTCGGAGTCACATCACAGGTGGCTGATGTTACGATCCGGCCTTCCAGAAAGCCCCGCACTCGGCACGCACGGAGCCAGCGACACTTATTTCAAGCTCTGTGATCGTGCTGTTCATTGCTAGGACCTGACAGCTTTCAAGACAACTCTCTTGGCAGGGGAAGGATGTGAGGCCCCGGCCTTGGCAAATTCCTCGGCCTCTGCTGCACACACGTCCATGTTGCGAAGGTGCAAGACCTTGAGCTTCTTGTAGTGGATCAAAGCTTTGGCCAACTGGCTCAACTCGCCCTTCGGCAGATTTGCACGTAGTGCTCTTTGGCACTCCGATACTTTCTGGTGGAAGATCTTCCGCTGCAGCTCTAGCACTGCCACGGCATCGTCTCGATGCGTGAATTCGGCTTTCCTCATGTCTTCTTGGAAAAGCTCCGGAGTCATTGGGACTTTGCCCTGCAGCTGGGCACATCCGCCGCCAGCCTCCGACTCAGGAGCGTCGATCCACTGGTTCTGCTCGGACTTGCTTCTGCACGAGGACCACTCCACCTCTGCTTTGCACCACCCCCTACTTCGGTAAGGGACTCTGTTGGCGACCAGCTCCTTGAGGGGGCGGCGTCTCACGGTCTTGCTTGCCGCATCATACACTGTCACGAGATGCTCCGAGTTCTTCAATGCGACGTCCCAAACATCGTCTGGGGTGAGAGATTCCAGTCGAAAGGTCCAGTTGTGGTCGTGAGCATAGAGCACATGCATGTGGCTCATGGACCGCCGGAAGCTCTCTTCTTCTGCGGGCGTCTGTCGCTCGAACTGAAAAAGCGAGATGTAGTCGTAGAACAGCCAGATATCGGAATGGTATGCAAGATCGTAAAGAGACAAGCGGTCCACCAGCCGGCTCAGCTGGTCGCCGCAGGGATCCGGGTGCTCACGGGTTTCCCAGGCATGTGAGATCGATATGATCATTGCATCCCGGCTTCCGGCGGCCCAGTTACTCACTTCCTCGTGGCTCACCAGGCCCCACTCTTCCTGAGCTTGGAGCTTCAACTGCAATAAATTACACCAGCGAAGACCCCAAACAGCAATAAACCAATCAAGATGTTGCGTGAATTTCGAAAAAGACAGCCAACTCGAAACGACAACACTTTGCAAGCCGGAGACAACAGTTTAGGATTTAAGGTTTGTCCACCGGGCCGTCGATGAGCGAAACCAAACGATTTCGACATAAGGGAACCTCACAGAACTTTCCAAACCTTCGAATCGCCAAATCCTGCGGAGGTGGTGCGCGTCTCAGCATCCGGCTCC